TGGATCCAGATTCAAATTTCTCCCAGTTGAGTGTTAGGATCTGAACATTTAGTTTAGTGCCATCTCTACTGCTCCACCTCTGGCCAAAATGAATAACAGAAAGGTGAGGACACTTAGTTTCCGTTTGCAAGAGAGACTAGATGCTGAGAACAGGAGTAAATGAGTGAGTCTAGAGAGGACCACTTGTAAAATCAGATGCTGCTGGGGACCACTAAGTTCAAGTGTAGATGCCTGAAGTTGTAGTCAGTGAGTCTGCTAGAGGTGTAACATGAGCCCCGTAGCTTGTTGAAATCTCTATGGAATTTTTCCTGACCCTCATCTCTTTGGTGGCCACAGCCTGCCCATTCTCATCTGTTTCCAACTTTGTAGGACTCATTGCAGGTTGTTGTTGCAACACTGTGTGGTGCTTCTCAATCACTCCGGCTTCCTCTCTCTTCCTGCCCCTTGATGTGACTTGGAGTGATTGAGTGTTAGCTGAAGGATAGCACCATAGGGCAGGCTAAGTTGCAATGAGCAATGACAGTCCAGCAATTTAACTACTAAAGCGCATATCCACAGAAGGCCATTATATTGACTCCTTTTCTGTTTTGGCTCCCGCCCGCGGGCTGAGTAGCCCTGCTCTAGATGGTTAGCAGTCCAGTGCTCTGTTCTGCCTTCAGTTGCCTACTTCATTCTACTGGTCTCCTGCCGATTTGCTGCTCTCTGCAGCTTAGCCCCCAGCACCCGCTCTCCATTGACTTTGACTCACACTACAAGTTTGACTTCAGTCTGAACTCCAGGCTCCAAAAGCTGGTGAGAGGGGAGGGTTTTGGACCTGGAGTGGAAATGTTTGCTCTGCTATTTTTAGACCCTTGTCATGAGTCCCAATCATTTTGATCTGGGCTCAGAGACAGCTGCCGCCCTGAGTTTTTGCAATGTAACTGTACCCTTAAAAACCAGAAATTGGGTGATATAGTAGTACAAAGGTTATTTTCTAGAGTTTTACCCTCTAAAAAAAGCTTTTGGCAGGCATTTTGACATATAATGACGGCAGTACCTCCTCCTTTCTTCAGTCCTGGCCTGTAGCCCAGGTGTGCTCTCTAGTGCCAGACTTGACTATGGTGGTGTCAAGATGACAGCTGGAGGGAGTAGGAAAGGGAGAGAGTGTGCACAAAAATCAGGAAGAGAAATGTGGGGACTTGAGTCACATTTTTAGGGGCTGTTTGATTTATACTAACACTCCACAGTCACATCTTTACTGGTTATATAGAGAGCTACAAAATTAATTTAATCTTTGGTTTCAAATGTGAAATGAGATATTAATACCAAACGTTGGAATAGAACTTGGAAAAGCCACTCACCTGCCCCAAGAGGGAAGGTTTCCTTGGTGAATGCAGGGGCTATAGACAGTGGCTGCAAAATTTAGGCTGTGATTTAAAAACAACTGTTAACGGTTCTAGCTTTTATGGTTGCAGAGAAAATTTTCCAGATTTGCACTATGTGTAAACTGGTGCAGTGTCATCTTCCTAAGTCTGTAGAAAGATGGCTCTGGGCCGCCTGCTGCTAATTACCTTGCCACACAACAGCAAAGTGAAATGGAGAAGACTGGAATCAGTTTCACTGATGCTTTTCAGAACCCTGAACAGAAGAATCATGTCGGCTTTTTCATGCTGTTGGTTCAAAGAGGCACCTGAAGCAAAAGCCAGAGCTCTTGATGGGAAGATGCAAAAAATGGAGGCTGGGAGAGGTGTGAAGTAATAGAAACCTGGTCCTCCCCTCATCTCTGTGCCACAGCTAGGAAGGTTCTGGGGACAGAGGTAGAGGTTCAGTCAATATGACAGGAACAAGGCCAGTACCCTGGTAGAAATCCTAACACCCTTTCCCATTCCAGTAGCTGGTAGTGAAGGTTGAGCTTCAAGCTTCGTTTAAGCCTTGCTTGTTGTCTTTTGACTCTATCTTTGGTTAGCAATTGTGTGTAGGGTTTTATTTTTTCCCTAATGAAGCCCTGCCTCGGAATGCCTGATCTAGCCTTGTTCTGTGAAATTTCTTTTGACCACTTTTACTACCCACCCCTCAAAATCCCCTCAGAGACTAGGAAATTAAACTGTATCGGCATTTGCTAATTGAACTTGCATTGATGGAACATTATGTAAAAGGGAAGGGTGGCAGGAACCTTTGCACCTTAATTATCTGACCTATGCAGGAAATAGTCTTCTAAGAATGCCAGTAAGAGGCAAGTGGCTTCCTGGGCTTTTCTGAAACTGTGATATTTAAGGGGAAGATTATCTAGAGGGCAGAAACACAGGAAAGGTAAATGGGATTTGAGGCATCAAAAAAGAAATGATACTAATTCAGTAACATCCGGGCAGGAAAGCTCAGTATTCTCTAAGAAGCTGCTCTAAGTATCTTGGCTAGAGAGAGAGAGCCCTGAGGATGTTTGGGCTTTGCTATTGCACATGTGGCTAAATGAACTTTTAATTAGACATTTAGGCAACAGCCCAAATCAGGAAAGGCACCAGGGAAAATCCACATAGACAGGGCCACTCAGCTACTGCATCATGGTAGTTAGGGCAAGAACAGGCTGAATGGACTGATGATTGG